TTAATAGGCAAAAAGGTATAAATTTGGAATACTAGCTGTAAATTTATTACAAAACACTAAGCAAATTCTACCAATATCTCCTCTCCTAGAATTACAGGATCACCTACACTGACTATGAGCAGGAAAGTGGAGGTCACACATAGAAATAGCAGGAATAGTACCCTTCTGTGGGGAAATTCACAAAGATTCCAACTGATATAAGGACAGTTACCTTCAGTGGGTAACTTCAGCGGGTTACCTTCAGTGGTTTCACTCTATCTCACCCTACCCCCACTATTTCCCTCAGGAAACCACTCCAAACACTACTCACCCACTGCTCCCCTCGTGTTCCCCAGGCACAGGCCTGCCCCAACGTGTTTGCAACTATGACTTTTTTTACTGCTGAACTATTTTGTCAGTCCTAAATAAAAAATAGGCTCAAATCTGACTTCCCAGAAACTTTCCCAGACCACCAGATCTCAGACTATCAGGCCAAACTTCCTCCACCTTGACACACAAACACACGTGAGTACTTTTATACATATGTTGTTTTTCTCTTCTGGATCCAATCCAAATCCCATGCTAAGTGGTGCCTATTTGCCTCTAGTAAATGTGCCTTCCTCTTGATTTCTTCCGTAAATTTGAATTAATCACAAGAGTAACACCTTCGCTACCTCATTTCGGCTTTTTCTACTTAACAAATGTGGCCTTAAATTATTTGACCAATCTATACATATATATCTTCATTTACAAAATAAGATTAAAACTAGTATCCACCAAACATGCGTATTATATGGGCTAAAGGGCTAAATAAATGTCAAAGACTCTGAAAAGAAACTGACACTGCCAGCGTCATTAGGAGAAGTTTTGGGTACTGACAAGCACACAGCCTGAAGACCCACCCACCATGTCAGGGGCTCAGAATCCTTGGCCCTGGCGGGAAGAGAGGAAGTGGGGCGAGTATCCAGGGCTGGCATCCCTAGTCGTCGAAGCTCACGTGCTGGCCTAAGGCCCTGAAGGGGCACTCACTCACCTGAGCCGCGGATCCCCTCCTGCTTCCAAGACAGCCGCTCCGCCTCGGTGGAGAAGCCCCTCAGAAGCGCCAGCTCCGGGGTCCACATCACGCCGGGCATCGCTGTACCCCAAGGCGGGTTTCCACAAGTGTCACACCGGAGAGGACGAAACAGAGAGGAGGGGACACAGTCGCCGACGTCTAATGGCCACAGGCACAGGGAAGACACGCAAGGGGTTAGAGACCCACGTGATAGAGACCCACAGACAAGGAGGCCGCCATGACAGCCGCGCGGGGCACGCTGGGAAAACACACACGCCGCCGTTGTGAGCATGCGCAGAGGATATGCAACCCAGGGCGGGGGGACTGGGCGGAGTTAGTAGGTTCTTGGTTCCTCCCCTAAAGGGTGAGGCTAGACGGAAAAAAGGGCATTCCTCCTAAAAGGCCTGGAATGGAAGGAAATTCTGTGTGAGGATGCCCCTGACTACCTGATCCAAATCCAAGTCCTTGGAGGCCATTACATCGGGCCTTTTCTCCCAACAGATGGGCGTGGTCTCTCGGAGTTAGAAGCATCTCCAAGTGGAGCCCACAAGCTCCATACTAGAACTGTTTCAGCATCCTTTGAGTAAATGAAGGTGTAAGAAACTATCAAGCTGGGCATGGTTGCTCAACTGTAATCTCCGCACTAGGGAGGATGAGGAGGAAGGATGAGGCAGGACGATTGCCACAACTTTGAGGCCAGCCTGAGAGGTTTAGTGAGTTCCAGGCTGGCCTAGTCTGAGAGTGTCGCCCTATCTCAATAAAGGAGAGGAGGTGGCCTCAGAGATGGCTCAGCAGAGGATCCAGGATTGGTTCCCACCACCCACATAGAGCAGCTCACAACTGCCTGTAACTCCAGTTCTAGAAGTTTTGTTGCCCTCTTCTGGCACCTGCATGCTCGAGTCGGTGCACATACAGGTAGGCACACACAGATACACAGGAATTTTTTTAATATTTTATTTATTTTAATTTTGTGTGCATGAGTGTATTGCCTACATCTATGTAAGTGCACCAATGTCATGCAATGCCCATGTAGGTCAGAAGAGGGCGTCAAATCCCTTGGAACTGAGGTTAGGGATGGTTGTTAGCCAGTGCTGGGAACTAAACCTAGATCTTCTCCAAGAGCTGCCAATGCTCTCAAACCCTGAGCCATCTCTCCAGCCCGAATAGGATAAACTTTTTTTTAATTGAAAGGAAGAGAGGTCTAGTTTTGACACTGCCATCATATAAATCATGAGTGGGGAATCAGGCAGGGGCCAGTCTGCAAAAACCAGAACCCAGGGGTAGAACTGGAAAAAAAAAAAAAAAAAAACTTAAAGGAAATATATCCTCCACTCTTGTGCCACTGCTGAGCACAGAGCCTGCCAGTGCCTCATTTGCATGTCCCTTAACTGTCAAAGCAACACTACTGGGAGAAAAGCAAAGTTCTGGGAACAAGGGGTAGGGTGGCACTGCCCCTATAACATGACACCAGCATTGAGATTTGTCATCCATAATACAGGAGAGATAGCTCAAGCCAGCACTTATCTACAAGAGATTCTTAGAAGAAATAAGGAGGACAGCACTGTGAAAAGTTGGCACAATATCAGGCTGCAAGGAGCAAGTAAGTGCTTCTTTTTAATTTTAATTTTTCATTGACATATAATTTGGGGGGGTGTCTTTTTGAGACAGGGTCTCCCTGTAGCCGCAGCTGGCCTGGAGCTCACTATGTAGACCAGGCTGGCCTTGAACTCAAGAGAATCACCTGCCTCTACCTGCCAAGTGCTGGAATTAAAGGCGTGTGCCACCACACCTGACTTGACATACAACTTTTTCCCTCACCTCTCTTTCTTCCTCAGAAACCAGAGTTCCTCCAGCCTGCTGAATGAAGAGGAACTGTTGCCAGGAGATGCCAAAAGAAGCCAGGCAGCAAGTGGAGAGTTGTGCCCTCAAATACATTCTTTGCATAAGAAGGGATGAAAAGTGTAGGGACTATTTTCCCAGTATGTCCATTCATTCCTTAAGCACAAAAGACAGGACTGTCTAAATATGTGATAGACAGTCAAGATGAACGCCTGTAACTGGCATGCCACAAGAGTTCTCCTGAGTGTAAGCTATAGCCTCATAGACATGTGTACAGTGACCATGGAACTTTCACAATCATTCAAAGTTGGTAAGAATAGGCTTTTGGCTTTATTTCTCATATGTATGAGATTGTCACACCAAGCTAAACTATGTAAGTTTAGGGAACTTTTGCTTAATATATCCCTTCCTGTAGGTGGACCTATGTCATGTGTGTTACCTGGGCTGAAGAGATAGCTCAGCAGTTAAGAACACTGGTTGCTCTTGCAGAAGACCCAGGTTCAAATCCCAGCACCCACATGGCAGGTAACAACTGTCCATAACTCCAGTTCCAGGGGATCCGACACCCTCTTCTGTCCTCTGAGGGCACTGCGCAACAGAGTGCCCTCACATACATGCAGGCAATACACTCATACACATAAAAATAATAAATTATTTTTAAAAAAGATTAATCCACTAATATTCCAGATAGGACACAAATAGATGTAGGCAGAATACCCACAGAGGTTTTGCATTATTGTTATAGGTTGGGGTTCACAAAAAAAATCATGAGCACCACTTTAAGAAAAGTAGCAAGGTAAATGTTTATTATTTTGACTGGCTGGGCTGTCTATCTCGAGAGTAGATGCAGCAGTGATCATTGCCAGGTCAGAGTTTTTATAGGATTACAGAAACATTATTCAAACAGGACACTTGTGAACCAATCAGGTTTGTACAACATCGCAGAACTTTGAATCTATTAATCAACAACCAATCATTCATTATACAGACAAGTGATACAGTCATATAACTTGGCAATCAACTTTGTAATTTTAAAATTAGCCAACTTCGTAGCCACAACAAGTATAGTAAGAAAGCTAAAATCAGCAGTTACTGGGTGGTCATACAATAATAGGGTGGTCTTATACTTTGTGTCAGGGTGACCTAAAATAGCAAGCCAGTTACAGAAGCAAAAACAAGCAGCCAGATGTAGAATGTCTGAGATTAGCATGTTCCATTGGTTTGTGGTTGAGCCATTTCTTAGAACTCAAGGCTGTTTTCTACTTTTAAATATTTTCCATAGGTGGAAAAGAGGTTACTGTTAAAATG